CTTAAAAAAAAAAAAAAAAAAAAAGTTTTCCATGACTGAAGAAAGTAAACAAATGTTGAAAGGGATTATTTGAAGCCCTGAAAAGGAACACTTGTAATCATAATTAAATTTTAGATTGTAAAACATGGGAAACCTGGCAAATCTGCTCTTCAGTTGTTAAAGCAACATGTAACCCAACAAGTTGATCAAGTGTTCCAGGACCAAAAAGAACTGACAAAGAGCTTTAGAGTCATCACACAACTGGAAAAACCAAAGCTCTATTGGCAGCCTAGAAGGTTGTTGAAACAGTATATGCTGCAACAAGTTCTGAAGTGAAATAAAGAAAGCATTTCAAGCAGTTGAAAGTTTACAAACTGGGGGTTGGGGAGGGCCAACCACAGCATTCAAAGCAATTTGAGGAAGTACCAGGGCCAAGAGAGACTGGATTCTTGGAGAAAGAAATGGGATTTACAGTCTATTTGTAATGTAAAATATTGAGATCATATGAGTAAATAAGATTCCTGTCCTTAATTAGGACTACAGTAACTTAGTTGTATAAGTGTCAATTAAAGGTCTATAGTAATTACTAACATTTGTAGATCTTTGTAATTTAGACTCCTCCATGTCATTGTTCTCATGTGACCCTACTGCACCTTAAAGTTCCCAAAGTCCCTTCCTAGTACTTCATTCCTTTTTTTTTTTTCAAGACAGGGTCCTGCTATGTAGCCCAGGCTGTCCTCAAACTTGTAGTGATCCTCCTACCTCAGCTTCCAGAGTGCTGGGATTCCAGGCATAAATACTTCATTCCTTATAATCTGTATCACTGCTCCACAACATTCATCATCTCCACTTTGCAGAGAAATTTTTGAAAAAATATGGGCTCATAAAATTAGAGGATCGGCCCAAAATTATCCAATTGATTTGCAGAAAAGCTGAAACTCAACTTTAGGGCTTTCTCATTTCTACATATGTCCCACTGTTGTTGTTGTCTGCAAAAAGAAAAAAAAATTAATAAAATATAGCTCAGGCAACCGTAACACTTGAAGGCTATGCCAACCTCCCATTCAACAGATAAGAAAACTGAGGATCATGAAGTTGTGCCTTTGCCCCAGTCATATGCTTATCAGCAGAGGTCAGAGACTGGATCCACATCTCCTTGTATCCAGTTCAGAACCTGTACTACTTTGCCTTGCTCCCTCTCAGACCTCATATAGCTACATAAAGTACACATTAATTTGGAATCTTAAACACCTTCAATAATGCGGTCTCCTGAAGTGGGGGGGGGGTCTAAGAAATTTTAGAAGGGCATTTCTGGGCTTTTGCATTTATTGGCTTATATATTTATTTATCGAGACAGGGTTTCACATGTTGCCCAGGTTGGCCTCGAACTCCCAGGTTGGTTCTCTTGTCTCAGCTTCCCGAAGTAGCTGGGACTCCAGGTGACCAGCATCGTGTGCAGCTCCCATTTAGTGACTTTAAAACTGTCTTCTCACGCCTTAATATTATTAATCAGTCTATGCCACCCCATTAAGAAGAATAGAAATACTTGCTCTGAGTAGTGCGCTGGTTTCTCTTTTGGGTGGAGATGGCTATATGTTTCAGATGATGGCAAGAGTGAAGGCTTAGTTTTATATTGAACTTTTGGTAGAAGGGAGAGAAGTAGATTAAAAACATGTTTTCTAAAATTACTAGAAGCTCCATGAAAACTAATGCTCAACAAAAGGCAAAAATGAGTGTCCCTTGCAAGGGCGCAGTTAGTTAATTGTGCCCTTATGTTCATGGCAGTATTATCCACCTCAGCTGAAAGGTGGAAGCAACACAGCTATTCACCAAAAGATGAATGGCTAAGCAAAGTATGGCCTATACCTACAGGAGAATATTATTCATCCTTTAAAAGGGAGGGACTGCTGACCATGCAACCACACAGATGAACCTTGAAGATATCATGCTGATGAAGTAAGCCAGTTACAGAAGAACAAGTAATGACTGATTCCTTTTATATGATGCTCTTAGAGGGTGTAAAATTCACGGATGTAGAAGAATGATGGTCTCCAGAGACTGATGATAGGGAGGAATGGGAGTCAGCATTTAGTGGTTTCAGCATCAGTTGGGAAAGATGAAAAAGTTCTGTGGAGGGATGGTGGTAATGGTTGCAAATGTAACCATTTGCAAATGCAACACAAATGTACTTAATGCAACTGAACTATCCGTGGTTAAAATGGTAACTTCTGCTATGTCTATTTTACCACAATAAACCAAAAAAAAATGAGTGTGCCCTGTTTCTCCTGACCTTATTTACATCCTCTGGGCAATAGAGAACATGGCCCTGGAACAACACGGGGACTCCAGCTCAAGTTCCAGATTTTTTTCAGCCTTCTTCAAAACTTCACTGAAAACACCACAAGGAAAGAATGAGACAAATCCAGAAAGTGAGGTATTCTGTAAGAAAATGTCCTGATCTCTTCAAAAGTCGGTGCTCTTGCTCAAGAAAAGCAGGGCATTTTATGCTGTGGATATGGTTTGTCCTCTCTGAAGCTCATCTTAAAATGTGATTCCTGAGGTAACAAAGCTGAGAAATGGTGGAAATTTTAAGAGGTAACCAGATTGTTAAGAGGGATTAATGGAGCTCTTGATTAGTTATCAGGAGAACAGATAACTAATAAAGCAAGACTGTTTCTCTAATTTCACTTTTGCTGCATACTCTTGCTTGTCTCTTTGCTTTTCTACAATGTTCTGACATAACATAAAGCCCTTATCAGAAGCCAACAAGATGCTGGCTCCACACTTTTGGACTTTCCAACCTCCACAACTGTAAGATAAATAAAATGTTATGCTTTATAAATTACCCAGTCTTGCATATTCTGTTGTAGCAACAGAAAACTAAGACAGGGATGTTATTCCAGATTTAAGCCACTGCAAAACACAATCTATGCATTGGTTCCTACCTGGAAAAAACAATTCCAAAAGACATTTGGGAAGGAACCAAAAAAGTCTGAAAGTGTCCTCAATATTAAATAATGCTAAAAAATTATTCTCATTTGTTTTACAAGTGGTAACTGGACTGTGGTTATGTAAGAGAATCTCTATTTGGTGAAGGTACAAGCTGAAGTATTTGGGAGTAAACCATCATGTATGCAGATGATCTTTAAATTATTGAGGGAAAAATATATGTATACACACAATAATAAAATATCATTCCCCACTCACAAATCCACAAATAACAACAAAAGACAAAATGGTAGAGAAATAAAACAAGAGCTAAATCTGAATGATGTGTATAAAGGTTCTCATTGCATGAGTGTTTTTATTTGGCATTTTGAAAAATAAAGCATTAAAGGGCCAGGGATTTGGCTCAGTGATTCCGCCGCCTGCCTTGTAAGCACAAGGGCCCAAGTTCAATCCCCGGTACCACAATAAATAAATAAATAAAATAAAATAAAGCATTAAAAATGGAGTGTTTATGGGTTAATAAATATAAAATTGCTAATTTATGCTTTCTCTAGTCAAAACCACTATCACCAACAGTTCCTAAGTATTCAAGAGTAGCACACACTTTGCTTAAACCTTTACACACATTATTTCATTTGATGCTGAGACGGTACTATTATTACCCTCCCTTTTACAAATGAGGAAACTGAGGTGCAGAGAGTAAGTGTCTTCTTCAAAATTATATACCCAGTAGGCAATACAGCCATGATTTGCATTCCCATAGTCTGATTGAAGACTAGGTTTCCTTTTCATATCTGGAAGTACTGAAGAAAACTTTGGACATTGAGGCAAGTCCAAATCATGGTCATTAACAGGGTACGATGGACCCTTGACTTATAAACTGAATTTGTTCTTGAGGACTGGTTGTAACTCAGGTTGGTCAATAGAAATCTCAGGCTCCTCTACACAGCCTTCAAAGTCTCTCTCCTGTATACAGGCAGATCTCAGTGTCCTTAGATGAACATTGGCCCGGGATTTCTCAATTACTCCCACACAGGAAAAGATGTAATGTTCCTTCTAGAACTCTTAAGGGTCAAATCTGTATTTGAGACCTTCTAGAAACACAGTGGCCAGCGTTCAGGTCATAACTCAAGCGTTTGGTCATACGCTAAAGCTAAAATTCCAGTGAAAACCCAAAAGTTGTTCGTATGTCATGCTGGTCACAACTCCAGGCTCCTCTGTATTTCAAAATTCTAGGGGGAGGATCCACTTAAGTAGCAGAACCCAAAAGTAATAACCTCTGTCATCTATATCCTACTAGTAATCTAGGTAGTCTGCCCCTCCCCAGCTATTACCTCATGTGCAACCTTAGGCAGTCTGGGAACTAGTGTAAATACTGTAATTCTTTCTAGTTTCAGCGCTAGAGGCTTGCCTGAGGCTCCTGGCTCTGTGCTCTACACCTGGCTCCCTTAGACAGTAACAATAACTACAGCCACTGACATTTATATAACACTTACATTGTGCCAGGCACTCTGCTTAGTGCCTTACATATGCATCCTAACAAATCCCCACATAACCTCTGTGGAATAGATATGTTATTCTCCCTCATTGTAGAGATGAGAACACTAAAGTAAGTAGGGAACATTAGGAAATGCCCAAGGTCTCACACATACTAAGTGAAGGAACTCAATACCAACCAGTCAGTGCTCCCATTAATCCAGATGAGACCCGTACTCTGTCCAGATCTCTTTAGCTCTCCTGGGGAGAACTTTGTCTCAGTGTTGGTCCCTGACCAAATCAGTGTAATGCTGTTGTTTCCAACATCTACTCTACTGGCACCAAAGGAGGTCGGCACTGCCTCCACCAGATATGAGAACCTCTGTTCTAATACCTTGCTCTATCTCTCTTAACTTGACCTTTTTGCCTTTGTTTTGTACAAAACAACAGTAACTCCCAGGTGGTCTGATGTCAGATATAATCACCCCATCATGCTACCTGCCCAAGATGTGGTGGCCCAGCCCCTCCAACATGCATATTTAACCTTCTACCCAGGGAGGGAAGCTTCCTATCCAGCCTCACCTGACAAAGCCAACCACAAAGCCAGCTGCTGGATAGGACTATAAAGAGGGAAGAAGAGAGACCTCCTCTGATTCCCCTCCTCCCTCCTCAGGGATGTATCAGGCAAACCTCTTCACTGTAAGGTGTTAGCCATACCTCTTACCTCTCCCGGGGGGACATCGTAATGTGGGGTCCCTTAGAGCAGCAATGTCTCACCCAAAGCAAGACTCTGGTCACAGAATGATAATCAAATGAGGTTTATTTTCTTTTCTGTTGTAGGGAAAAAGAAAAAAGGAAACAAGCAATTTCTGTCACTCTTCACTGGCCTTCCAACCTCCTAACTCTTAACTCCTAACTAACTCCCCGAGTCAGCCCAGGCTCTGTCCTTAGTAGCCTCAGATCCCTATTTTCTCTGGGGGTAAGTAAGGAGTGGGTGACAGGGATTAGCTAATGGCTTCTCTATAGTTTACGAGTTAAACCTAGGGAGGAATTAAGCTGGAGGCGTCCCAGAGGATGGAGTGGGGAATGGGAAAAAAGAAGCTGGGGCTTCCCCTTTGAGAGAGGAAAGTAGATTCTAGAAGTCTAAGGAAGACATTCAAGGACATCCTCAAATAGAATAGCGGAGACCTGTGCCTTTCTGAGCAGGGCTCGGGACGGGGGACATGTTCGTGCCTGGCTGTCAGGCCGCTAGAATGACGGACTGCAGGAAGGTCTTGAGGCAGCAGTTTGGTTGAAAGCTCACAAGGGGAGGAGGGTGCTCCAGCTATTTACATGGCTGTGTGAATGAAAATGGAAAAAATCTATGTATAACAAAGAATAGGAGGTGCTGAATAGGAGATGGGGAGAAGACCTAAAGTTTCCTCACAACTCCTTGCACCACTATCACCACCCAAACTCCGCATATGACTAAATCTCTACCTGCGGGACTTCGAAAACATGGGAAAAGGTCCCCAGAGCAGAGTCTGCAGGGAAAGTAGGAACT